AAGATGACTGGAAGTCTTCCAAAGGTCCAACTGGCTCACTAGATTTAGTGACAGCCTCACGATTTGTATGAACACTCAGAGTGTCTTCAGTGAAATCTAACGAAAGGTTCTTAAGCATTTCAAACATCAGCAAGTCCTTTGAGCATTCTTTAGTTACACGTGGATTGAAAGCTAATTCGTAGAGGAGCTCAGAATTTTGGGTTCTTTTTCTTTTGTCGTTGAGATGATGACGTAGAGTTCCACCTTTAACAGGTATAGGGTCGTTATCAGTTGGAGGATAGGGTACTCTGTTCCAACTGCACACATTAATATACAGTGTGCACTCTTTACCCTACAGTGCAGCATAAATATAGCAGTAACTATGTTCATTAATTCCTATTATTAGCATAATGTAATCATAGCTCTAAAGGTGGGTTTATGATTATTATGTAACGGTAAGCCTGATATTACCAGGGCCGTAGCCAGGAACTTAAAATAGGGGGTTCGGAAATTGCTGCGCGCAAAGCGTGCAGTGAAAATTTTGACGAAAATGGGCGTGGTTGGTAGGCATGGTCTTAATTTACGCATCTCAGCCATGTGCTGACTCAGCTAAAATGGCTATCTGTGCTTCTCGCTGTTGCCAAAATGCTAATCCTGCTTTTGCAGTGCTGTTCTTCATGACAGGAGCTAATCTAAAACTTTTTTGTAGCTACAACAGGGGGTTCGTCCGAACCCCCCGAACCCCCCCTGGCTACGGGCCTGATTACATTAATACTGGAATAGAATTTGACTCTATTTTAGAGTAAAGCATGCGTCAAAAGGTCAAATCACCCATACTTTTGATTAAAAATTGATAAATTATTGTAAACCCACTTTAATTAACGGGACATTGATTGTATATAGTTTTTGCTCATTACTGAGCTGCCCACTTTAGACTACACATAACAAAATGGCATTAATGAACTCGTAAAGTGTTGACTGACACTCAAAACTCCAGACACTACATGCCCATCATTAATTAGATTAATTATAATTATTAATTAATCATTTCAAGCCTCACTTTGTGGCGTGTTTTAGGACATTTTAGACAAAAAGCAAAAACAGGAGAAGCTAAATACTCTTTGCCTTCCTCCATTTGCTTCTCCACAAACTTTTTGTACTCTTGTGGATCTTTGGCAGCCATTGCGTCCAGCATTCCCCAGATTTGCTCTGCTGCTTTGAGAATCCCAGGATCATTATTGGAGGCCATTTTCCCGCCAAACCCATTTCTGTTTCCATGGATACGATGATTTGCCGCGCGGCAAAAAAGGACAGGGTGTGGTCCAAAAATCAAAATGGCGTCCGACAGGCAACGTCGTGTAAATGCTGGAAGGAATATCTCGAAACTCTTAGAGCAAGAAGAGATGAAAGACGAGTTTTACAGCACAGCTTACGGTGG